TTAGGTACTATTTGAATTTATGCAAACGCCTTCCAATTTTTTCAAACGTAACGCCGGCAAACACAAAACAATGACACAACGGCTTTCGTATTCTATTTCCTGTCTTCAAATATATCGATAACAACTACAGTGAGCTGCAGCGCTAACTTGATGTACCCCTGCGTACAATCGATACCCGTTGCTGAATTTTTATACCAATAACTTAACATATGTTACAAATCAAACCATCACTAGTAACTTATCGATAGCAACGATAACTTAGTTGTGACATTTACAACAGCTGTTTTTGTTTATACTGCTGTTGGCATATTTCTATCTATGAGGAGTAAGAAATTTGTTTATTTGCTTTCTTTGCGCATATATTATAAAAATTCTTTCCTGTTAGAATACAAATGAAAACATAGGGATAACCTTAAATATATTTCGGTTTAGTGTATGATCTCATCATTGTTTTCTTGCGCAAACAACCATAGATAAACAAACAACAGCGAGTGCAAATTAAAAATCATATGAGTACAAATGAATAGAAGCCCACGCAACAATAATTCGAAAGATAAATAAATATTTACTTTTTTTTACCATTTAGGTTAGACGTTAACACCACGGACAATAAGTACATGTCGCCAAAATACTTAAATCGCACTTCTTAGATATTTTGAATTGGTATTAAATAATTAGACAAATTGTGCAGATACGCTGGCACCACGGATAATATCAGAAATAAAAGGACATTACCTATATGTGAAGTGGTACAAAAAGTCCTGATGATATTGGGGTACAATGCTATGACTCATTCAAAAATATTACAACAAAGGCATACCGAAAATGCATTATCTTAATAGTAAATATTTAAATTTTAATTTATTTATTTTGTTTAAACTCAGGTTTCCTGCTTATTTCCAATTGGTGGTTTAAGTAACTCGTCGCGATGAACGTTATTGAGAAATATGATTTTAGCAAGTCAATGGGATCTTCGTACTATCTTGCATATGCGTGATGCATTTGATACTTTCATTTTATCATAAAAAAATAATAGATGATGCCTGCTTGAGTTCAATTAATTATTAACATTGAGAAGTACAAACGAAGAAGATGTGTTAAAGTATTTTTAACAGTTTTTAAAAACATATATTATGAAAAAAAAAATTTCAAAAGGATAAAAATTATAAAAAAGAAATGTTTTCCAATTTTTTAATATGCATCAAAATCCGCATCAAATGTACTAAATGTTTATAAAAATTAAAATGAATTCATATAAAAGATATTCAAAATATTCTAATAATAGTAAATATTTTTTATATTTTTTTCATTGTCAATTGGATTGTTGACGGTTTATTTCCGTACACTACAGAATTAAAATTTAAGAAAAATATATCCTACCAGAAATGCTTAAAATATTTAATAATATATTTATAAACACAGTGTTTTACTCACCTGATTGCTTAGACGACATTAAATTTTAAATATTTGTAATCATTGCTTAATTTATTATCATTATCAACACTTTCTTTTCTTACACTTATTGCATTAAATATTTAGCTCACTTTTTAGTAGGGGTGTATGTATACTCATATGCACATTTATCTTATTACGTATGACACTATATTTTTGTATTCATTTAGTTTTTTTTATCGAATATGCACAAATATTTCCTGATGCTAACTTACAAGACATTGCTATAAAAGATTTAACTTACATATTAATTGTTTGCTAAATTTAAATTTCTCCATTTACTTTCACTTATGTATATAGAATTTTCTTTACTTTTATGCTTTTCACATATATTTATTATTTTATGACTTCACATTATACCAATTGGATATTTTTCTTATTTGATTTCACTTAACCTTACTTTGACAGTAAACGTCCTTCAAATGTACGAGGCTGCACACAAGTATGTTTATACATTCCGTCTCAGCCTCGGGCTTCATTTCGAATATGTGTTCTATGATCGCAAAGCTTTCAATTTTGTTTAATTCTCATTAAATTTATATACAATATACTTGATAAGTTAAATTTATATAGCATTTACTTGTGCAACTTTACCAAAACTCCAACACAAGTCATTGCAGAAATTGTTTTTGCGAATTGTTGCAAATTGCTAGCATTTACTGTTTAATTGGAGATTTTAATGTTAAATTCACTCTATGGGTTGCAACACATTGTTATGCCGTACTAAACAGCACAAAAAGCTTAGTTAAAACGTTAAAATTAAGAAACTAATAAGAATCTTCACAAATGAACGCGCTTCAACTGACGCCTTGAAAAATTTACTTCCTTCAAAATGGCGGCTTAAATAGTGCCGATAAGTGGTTATCGATAAAATTTACCCAAAATAACTGTAAAAAATACGCAATTATGCATTTTAATACAAATTGTTTTAGGCAAATAATTTTAAACTAATTTTTAATGAAAATAATTATTATTTTTCACGCCATACGTAAATGTGTTTATATGTTTATCTTGACTTTTTAACACAAATTCAAAAGCAACAATGCGTGTTTATGTATGCATGTGTGGAATTTGTGTCAAACAAAGGTTGTTAAATTTTATTAATTATTTTAGTTGACTTAGTTTTCATTATCAATCAAGCATATATACAAATTTTTAGCAAAATACGTATTTTAAACATGATTTATTATCATCATATATTTCTGCAATGAAATTTACAATGCAATTTCTACACTGCACAAAATGTCGCTATAAACTTTTTTTATGCAATATTGTATGTACAAACAATTTCTTTTTGTGACATCTCTCGAAACTAATCTGTTTGTGTTACACATAATGCATTTTTTAATATATTAAAATTTTTTTTACTTTTTGTTCATTTAGTAGCTCTGTTTTCCAACTAAATAAATTGATTGTTTTATAATTTATTTTATTTATTTCAATTTTTTGTCGTTGCATGCAAATAAATAATTGCTTTAGTGGTTCACTCTACACAGTTTTTTGTTTTGCTTAATCCTTTTTTATACTTTAGTAAATTTTGTCTGTAAATATGTTTAGGCCCCACAAATGCGCCTTTACTAAAAAAAATGAACGCCTAAAAGTATACAAAGTACATTTTTTTAAATAAAAAATAAATATCAATTATAAAATACTAGCACAAAAAAAATAGATTTGTTTATTTATTATATGAAAAAAAATCGTTTAAGTCATAAAACATGTCGCATGTTTGTTATTTTTTTTTTTTTATTTACAAAGCTTTCTTTTTAAGTAGCACTAGACATTTTTAGCATATGCAATTGAAAAAAAATTTATATGCAAAATAATGTTTTTTTTTAAATAGGAAAACAACGAAAAATCATAACAAAAGCAGAAGTTAAAAATAAATTTAAGTTAATGTTAAAATTAAACTTAAAAGATCAGCTGCAAAAAAACTTAAGCTTAAGTTACTTAACAAAGAAACATTTTTTATAAACAACTCAAATCGTTTAAAGCTGAAAATCTCAGCTAATAATCATACACCAGAAACTATCATTATATTATGACTTAAAAATAGCTTCCCTTTTACTGCAAGCTCATTTTGGGCTTTAAGCTGAAAACAGAAAAAGGAAGAGCTAAAAGACACATGTCATTCTAAACGAAAGACTTTTGGAAACAACAACACACATAAATACGGCCAAGTTGACATTCTGCGCAAATATTTATAGTGTTTACAGCAATTGTTTATAAGTCAGATCCAAAAACAAAATTATAACAGAAACCAACTATTTGCAGTTAATATTTCATATAATTTTTCTGATTTCCTTAGTATTTAAGTTTGTTTGCTTTCTGTTTTTGTTGTTTTGCTTTGTTTTCAATTAAATATGAACACTTGTATGCATGTATGTATGTAAAAGTGAAAGAAAATGTCTCAACCGAATTCGCTTCGCATACAAATTAATATGTTATAATTCAATACATATGTATTTATATTGTGTGCATGCAATGTGGCAATGAAACTCAACTAAACACAATCTCATCTAAACCACAATTTTAAACGCAACGCATCAACGCCATTTAAATAGTAGCGAAACAAGCGTTTATCACGCACAAAACCCAAGTTCTCGTATAAACGTAAAGCGGGCACGTTACGCATTTCGGTTTCCAGCACAACTTCATCAGCATTATCGGCAAGCATGGCCTGAAAAATGCATTATATTAAAAGTTATAATAATAAAAACAAGCACACTTGTTCCAGTTTACCTCAATTGCTTTTTGTACCAACGTCGTGCCAATTTTAAGTTTCCTATATTCCTTACGCACCGCCAACATGGCTATGTAGCCACGCCTCACGTTTCTGTGCATGTCAAGCTTACATACTATGGCACCAATATACTCATTGCCATGCGCTGCCAGAAAACACAATTTCGGCCAATTGTATATGAAATAACGATACGTATAAATAGAGTAAGGCTCCGATAATTCAGCTTGTATTAAGCGCATTATGTCCTGCAACAATAAAAATAAATAAATTTATGTTTTATACAAAATATCAATAAATAGTTAAGATATATATACAACAAACCGCGCACTCACATGCATTTGCAATTCAGATTCATATTCCTTATACTGAATTTGCACATTACTCAAATCCAATTCGGTTGTCACAGCCAGTGGGGGCGTTGGCTGTCTCTTATACACATCTAGATGTGTATAAGAGACAGCATTATGTCCTGCAACAATAAAAATAAATAAATTTATGTTTTATACAAAATATCAATAAATAGTTAAGATATATATACAACAAACCGCGCACTCACATGCATTTGCAATTCAGATTCATATTCCTTATACTGAATTTGCACATTACTCAAATCCAATTCGGTTGTCACAGCCAGTGGGGGCGTTGGTGACACACTTAGCGGCGCTTCCTTAGGGTTAGTTTGATCAGTTTGCTGCGCATCGTCTGCGTGCTGCTTGGCAGTGTTGTTCGTATTGTGTATTGCAGTAGGAGGGTTAGCATATATAGTACTTTGTTGTGCCAACGTTGGTGTGGACAGTTGTTTGTGTTGTGGGCAGGTGTCAGATATTGATACCGCTGCAGTTGCCGCCACTCCTCTCGCCGCTGCAGAGTTTAATATATTCGGTTCAGTATTGTTGGATATAGGTTTGGTTATTTCAGCATTGGCTACACATTGTTGGTGCGTTTCCTTACTGCGCAATGCTTCGTCTTGTTCATTAGTGAAATCATGGAAACCATTTTTCAATTGCACATTATCCACTTCCGCTGGTTTGCGTGTTGCTTCCATTGGACTTGTGTATGTCAGTGCTGGTGACTCGCCATTGGTATTATGACTTGTCTGTGGTGACTTATGATTTTCAGTTTCAAAATTAGCTTCTTTGTTCTTTTGTTTGTTGTTTTTACTCTTTGATTTTTTCAAAGCACCAGACGTTGTTATTTCTTCCAAGGCCGACAGTTGCTGTTGTGTTTGTACAATTGCCGTCCTCGCGCTGCTGTGTGTAATATCGGTTGCGGGTGTATGATGCCCATTCTGTGCAGTATGAGTGCTGCACTTTCCAACAGTACCGTTTATTAGTAGACCATCTCCTGTAATGTGTAAATGTTGTTTTAGTGTTTCGGAAATCCCATTCGCTGTGACTTCTTCTGCACCACTAAAAACCGCAACTTTTCCAATGTCATTCGCAACATCCGGCAAGTCATTTGGTGCACTGCTGGTGGGCACCTTCCCATTTGCCTTTTTACTCTTCTGCCTTTTCTTTGATTTCTGTGTTGTTGCTAATTTTTGCTGTTCAACAATGGCACTTGCGGTATTATCCATTGCTTTTATTTGTGAACGAGCAGGAAATTTTTGTATTAAACAATTTATCAAGCTCTTAAAATTACGATATTCTTTGTCCTGGCCTTATTTGGTATTTGTTGCAACTCTATCGTTTACCACTTTTTCGTGTCGTCAACCGCACAGCACTTGTTTGACACTTCCTGACTTGCTCACTTGTACTTTGTCTTGTTTAAATATGCTATGAATTCATACAATTAAAACATATTTTTGACTTTCGTTTGCTTTTTTGGTTACTATTACCTCAAAATATTAAATTTGTCGTCTATAAGTTAAAATTGTTCTTGAAATGTAACTTCATTTCTTCTACTGGTTAATCTGATTCTTTCAATTCGGCCCAGTTCTGACTTCCCGAAGTCGCCCGTCTTTGACAATATCTTCTTCACTTTTTATTACTAATGTCTGTCCCCTGCCTTGCCCTGCTTTCTGTCAATCACATCCAGCACCTTTCTAGATCTAACCGACCGCTCTTAAATTTTACTCTCGCATTCCAATTAGATTACAAATATATTCTTAATAAGCCCTTAAAACAATTATGTAAAATTTCTTGATAAAACGACTATCAATTTGGGTTTTTCGTAAGTTCTTTGAAATTTTCACTTTCCTCGCGAGTTGAACGTGAAAGACAACTTCCACGTTGCCAGATAAGTAATAACTTAATCCATCAAAATTCTTAAAACAAATGAATAATTTATAGATTATAGTTGGTTAAAAATGCTTATGAAAAGGGCAGTCAAATTATACATTTATACTTATAAAATATTATTAATGCTAGCAAATTACAGCAATAATAAACTATGCAGCATTTGAATGCATGATAAGGGGATCTTTTTAGTAAAATATTTAACGTAAATATGGCAAGACAGTTTTTCAATATCAGCAGTTGTAGCTTGACAGCTGCGAATCATGAAACAGGCTTGTTAAATACTAGTAACTTAAAGTTTGCTTGATCATACTTATTACATTTGTGAAAAATTGTCAAACAACATACATATTAAATAATTAAGTTAATCTGCAACATTTAACATACTGTGTTAATGTTACCAATAAATAGTATGATAAACAAGTGTTTTTAATTATGGCCACCCTGTGCTAAGCTAAGAATAACAACAAAGATGACAGCGTTTGTTATCATTTGAGAAGTGCGTAAAATTGCTGTCAATTTCGATAAAAAAAAGGCGCTAATTATTTTTTATTAATTTTCTACAACTGCAAGTAAACTTAAGAAAAAATGCCAAAATCGAAGAAGTCTCGAAAGCAGAGACGAACCCAAGATGAGGAGCCATCTGATAGCAGTGACAATGAATCATGTAACTCCAAATCGGAAGCACGACATCGTAAACAAAAGAGTTCAAAACATTCAAACAAGAAAAATCGATCTAAGAATTCTGATACAGACGATTCAAGTAGCACTACTTCCAGTTCACCGTCGGCAAGTGATTTATCAGACTCTACAACGCGTAAAACAGGCAAGCATTCTAAAAGACGTGAAAAAAATAATCAAAAACGTGTGCATAGTGATGACGAAACGGCGGAACGTAGGCAACGTCGACACACGCATAGTCGTGAACGTGAAGAAATAAGTAGTGGAGGGGAGCCACATGTTTCCAAATGGGACAGTCCTGATAGGCGAAATCGCCAACGGAGCAGAAGTAGAAGCCGCCAGCGTCAGAGAAGTAGAGAGCGTGAAAGAAGCGCACAACGTGATACGGTACGGTCACACGGAGATCGTAACGACCGAGGAAACCGTACACGCGATGAGTACCCAGGAAGAGGGCATTTCCCGAACAGACATGACAACAGGGAACGTTATGTAAATAAAAACAGAGATGAACGTTGGAGAGATGATCGTGGACATCAAAATGAACGATATAACGAACGAAGAGGGTATATTAAGAACGTATGAACATTCTTGACAAATTATATTAAATAAAGTTTTAATTTAGACGAAGTCGCAGTCCACGTACTGATAAATATCAAAATCGATCACAAGGCAATGAACGTTTTAAACGGGAACCTAGAGAACACTCTAGACAACAAAACTCACCTGGCCGACGTGGGCGTACAAATCGCAGAAACTTACGGGACGATGACGGCAAAAACTATGAATGGGGAGGTAAACGTGCTGATGATAAAAATGATGAAGCACAAGTAAAAGAGGAACCTGTGGAAAAAGAGAAACCCAATTTTGGTCTAAGTGGAGCGTTGTTAGAAGATACGAATAAAGTAAATGGCGTTGTTGTAAAATATGCTGAACCGCCAGAAGCGCGAAAACCTAAACGTCGTTGGCGTTTATACCCATTCAAAGGAGAAACAGCGCTACCTACATTGCATATACATAGACAAAGTTGTTTTTTGGTTGGAAGAGATCGAAAAGTAGCCGATTTAGCTGTAGACCATCCGAGTTGTTCAAAACAGCATGCCGCGCTACAATATCGGCTTGTGCCATTCGAACGCGAAGATGGCACGCAGGGTAAACGTGTCCGGCTATATCTGATAGATTTGGAATCTGCGAATGGCACTTTTTTAAACAACAAGAAAATTGAGCCGCGGAAGTATTATGAGTTAATTGAAAAGGACGTTATAAAATTTGGCTTTAGTACACGCGAATATGTATTATTGCATGAGAACAGCAAAGAAGATCAAGAGGATGATGACGTATTTGTTAAACCAGAACCGGAAGATGTACCAGACGGACCAAACCCTTGATATTAATCTGTATGATAATATGGGCCTGTGTCTCCATGAGAACACAATTATTATTGGATTATCGTAATAAATCTGAATTTGAAGGCATTGAAAATATCTAAGAAGAAAATATCGCATAACGTAAATTATTGATTTGTTAGATAAGTAGATGCGCTGATTCTGTTTAAAATAAATTTCTTCATATAAGTATAATTTTTTGTTTTTTTGTACACACCCTTTCCAGGAGAGCATCAATAACAAATTGTATGTATTTATACGTCATAAAATATATGATAGATAACTTATTTCATAGTTTTGATTTATGTTATTTTATCGGAAACAAGATAAAGTGCATCGTCAGAACACTGTTTTAAGAACAGTTAAGTTTTATGATAATTTGCTTAAATACCGAATAATATGGCAGCCCACTGCATTTTTCAATCATTTCCAGCTGTCATCCAATTAGAATTACTTGCGGTTTGTTACATCGTCTGGTCTTGTGTTTTGCGCTTTAAAGTGTGATTAAAAATAGTATTATTTAAACACTAAATAACGCGAAAAATTGAAGCTAATTTGTTTATAGAGTGAAAACACTTACTGATATTGCTGAATAAATCATTATTAAAAAGTGTACACAAGGTTTACTGTAGTCCACAGGACTACTTGAATCAGACTTTGGTTTTGGTTCGAGGTTTCTAGCTGTTTTAAATTTTTAAAAGCTTTTAGCAGTCCCGTTAGAAAAAAACCTTGAGAAAATGCCGAAAAAACAAGCAAGAAATGGTTTTATGATTTTTACCGTAGATTGGAAGTCTAAGTATGGTAAACACTTAACATTGAAGGAAGCTACAACAGAGGCTGGCCGAATATGGGCAGTAAGTTAAATTTAATAAAGTATAAAATATATTTTTAACTTTGAATTTATGAGTCTGTGGTTGACTTCACTCTTAAATGCACCTAAGCTTTCAAATATTATATATATTACATACAGTCAATGACGATCCTGGAGCGTGCTCCATACAATGAGCGCGCTAAGCAGGAAAAAATGGGTTTAAAATCTGGCGGGACACCAAAACTTACCTGTACTGGTAAGGCCATTGAAGAAGTAGAAAGAGAACGAAAGTATGCCGAGGATCGTGAACGGAGCATGAAACGGACTATCGATAACACTGTGCGAAACAGTGTTAAGAATTGCCGTAAGCTAACTGTATTTGCGTAAAACATTTGTTGTAAATATCTGATTTGGTATTTTTTTTTTTTTAGAATTGAAAACACAACCGTACTACTTTGTGATGGTTAATTATTTCACACGTTCACTTGGAAGCGGTTGTTATGTCCCAGCTGAAATTTCTGTTGCTAAATATTCATTACAAGAAGGTGTTTGCCGCACATACCATAGTTTTATAAATCCTGGTACGCGTATTTAACTATAGCTTAAAAAAAAATATTACTAATGTCAATTCGATTCTTTAGGAGCTGAAATGTACGGTTTACAATATGAGGCACAGCATCATTCGGAAAACACACACAAGTTACCATTACCGCCAAATGCTAAAGGCGAAAGAGATTTAGGTTTAGTTTATAATAATATATTAGATTTTATACGTGATCCAGAAACTGGCGAGTATCCGCCAGTTTATACTCACCGCGATTTCATACCAGTTGTTAAATCTGTTTTGGAATTTCTCAAATCCGATGTATCTGCAAGAGATGTCGTATTTGACACATATTCTATACAATATCTCTTGTATATACTCAAAGATACTGCTATGAAATTAAATGAATCGGGTAAACAAATTTCTAGCTACATTACGGATGCTGATTTTGAAAGGGACTTTTTCGAATATCAAACTGGTATAGCTTGCGCTGTAAGTTATTTATAATATTATAAATGTTTATACAATAATTAATTATTTTTCTGCCAACAGTATCATGAAGAAATTGATAAAAGCAAATATTGTACACAATCCTGTGTAGTCCGCTGGGGATACATGTTTTCTGATTCCCTATGTGGCGAAGTTGCTGTGGATTTGATACCTGGTCGTCATGTGCCCGCCACAACTAACTTAGAAGCCATTATAAATCCAGCTCCAAGCACCCATGCCGACACTGAATCGCACATTTCAATAAATAGTGAAAGTACTTTCGCTACCAAAGCCGTATCCGAAAGAACCATTTACTATGATTACCAAAAAGCATATACACCAGCACGTGCCAATTACAACGATCGTTCTTCGTTGCAGCACGATGGCGACAATTTCCCAACGCTTGGAGCTGGTTCGTCGCGTAAGAAATCGGGATTTAGTGTTATATCTGCACCAGCTAAATCTAGCCGTATGCACACCGCACAACAGATGATAATGGATGGTGGCTCACCGGATTCTACCATTGATATAAATCCATGGACATTGCGTTCGCGAAATGTACCGCGAAAACCAGATACCTCACACTTCGACATAAACTATACACGCGACGAGACCACTGATTCTGAGTCGTCCACACCGGTTGGTTATGGGCGTGGCAGAATACGCAATAACGTATCTTCGGCTAGCAATGTAACAGCAGGATCAGGACGTGGCAAGCTCTACCAACGTTTGTATGAATAGTGTTAAAATATATCGAACAGAAAAAAGAAACACATAAAAAGTAAAAAAAAAAAACAATAAAAAAATAAAAATACAGAAAAGTCCAAAATGAAACATGTATACAAGAAATGTATATATCAAACAACCGTAGAAATATAGGAGCTGACTTATCATAACATTATTTTTTTTTCTTTACGTATTTCAGAATTTCTTTAATTTCTATGTTATTCAATCGACTAAAATATTGTCATGTTAAAGCGTTTTTTTTAATCACTTGACTAAAAAAATAATTTAAGCAAATACGTGATTGTAATTTTTTAATAAAAATCAGCCAAGCGTCGCTGTGCAAAACAATGCGTATAATTTTTTGAGTTGTTTGGGGACTGTGCACATAAGTATGTTCTTTCACTGTTTACCAATCCTGGTCTGTTCCATTGCTTTGAAGTAACTGAAATTAAATATGATTAATTTGAAATATGTATAATTTTCAAGTTTTCGCTGCTGAAAAAAGTAGGTTTTAGAGTGATTTATTATTTTTTATTTTAATTAATTCAAAGTACAAAAACACATTTTTGATTAAATATGATTAACAAAGCTATTTTGGTACGAAACAATTTATTACAAGTAAAAATTCAAATAATCAGAATTATTAAAATATATGTGAATATTCAGTTTTTTTTTTGTTATAAACTTTTTTTAATTTAACAAAAATTATATTACAAAATCATATTCAAATATGTAGATATAAATTTCATTTACACTTTCTTTAAATCATATAAAATTAAATAAATTTTTTTTACAAAAAAATAAAAATCGGAATATTTTAGTGAACGCTAATGCGAGGTAATTGTTTGAAATACTTTATTTCGCTTTCTCTTATGAAATGTATTGTTTATTACCATAATCTTTGGTATCAAAGAAAGTTTGTATTCAGCTAGTCGTTTAGAACATAAGCTTACCTATAAAAAAAAAAAAAAAATTAAAACCGCTACAAAAAAAAATTTAAATTATTTTTGAAAAAAAATTAATAAAACTTATTTTTGGAAATAATTAAAAAAAAACATTTTTGGAAAAAGTTAATAAAACATTTTCGGAAAAAATTAAATGTTTTATTAATTATTATTTTTGGAAAGAATTATTAAAAAGTATTTCTGAAAAAATGAATAAAATTTTAATTTTTTTTAAATTAATAAAAAATATTTTTTTTTAAATTAATAAAATTTTTGAATATTTTTTAAAAAATTAATAAAAAATATATTTAAACAAAAAAATTAAAAATCAATTAAAACAAAATATAAAAATACAAATTTTCTAATTAATATTATGTAAAGAATTTTTATAAACTTTTTCATAACCTGCAGATACTTAATAAAAAATAATAAATAACTTAAATATAATAATGAAAATAAAAAAATATAATAAAAAACACAAGGTGAATAAAATTAAACAAAAAATTTAATTGAATAAACAAAAATATTTTTTATATTTATTTTGAGCAGCAAAGTGATAAAATAAAATGAATTTTAAMAAAAAAAAAAAAAATTTCTTATTTGATGCAAAAAAATACAAAAAAAAAAAAATATTTTTACTTTATTTTAAGCAGAAAATGTGAACAAAAAATTAAAAAGAATTTTAACAATATTTTTTTATTAAATACAAAGAAATAAAAATATGTTTCTACCTTATTTTAGTCAGAAAATGCGGTAATAAAAAATTTTCTTAATTAAATAATTAAACTTTTCTATATTTATTTTAAGCTGGAAAGGTGGGACAAAAATTTAACTGCAAAATACATACATATATATATGTATATATGAACATATGTATATATGTTTGTGATGCTTAAATAAAATAAACTTAAAGAAAAATTAATAAAATTTTTATAATAAATTAAAAAAAAATTCTAATTCAAAAAAATTAAAAATAATTTTTTTATAATTTATTTTAAGCACGAATAAGAGGAACCAATGCCGTTTTCTGAAATACAATTAAATTCGTTGCGCATATAAATATAACTGTTAAATACATACACATATGTATGTACATATATGCTATTTCTATAATGAAAATAAATATGAAAATTGTGTAATTCTTTAATTTACTTACATAGAGCCAAACGTGCCATATTTGTTTGTGTGTTTGTAGACATATATAAAATGTAATACGAATGTTTATGAAATTAAATATTTAATCAAAAAAATTAAATACTTTTCCCTTGTCAACCATATACACAAGTACAGTTGTGTGCGTAAAAATATTCTTTGCTTAAATTTACTAATTCTTGTATGTATGTATATGTTTAAAACTATGAAAAATATCCATTGCAATAAATTTGCTGCGCGCAACCGTTACATTTTTGGTTTCCGTTAACTTTTTCAACTGATGGTGAAATTGCAAATGGTAATTAAGAGAGAAATATACCATAATTGATATTATATTGTACGCATGTATGTGTGTTGTATAGAATATTATGTCTTTAGCTAGTAAAATATGTATATAAATGTGATATAGGATCGCCTTAAGCTTAATTATTTTTTACATAATACATAAAGTTATTGGAAAGCTATGTAACTTTATTCGTGTCACAGTTAAAAAGTCTGCAAAATTGTCTTCTTATGCGCTTGCTCATTACCACGCGCCGCCCTATGTGCTCGCGGTCTTCAGCGCAGGCGAAGCAAGCTTAATGCTACGTTTGCACTCCCCGCTTGCCAGCGCTGAGTCGCGCACCACATGTTCCTGCCGCGTAGCAGTCGCTACAGTTGCTGACGCCGCGGCGGGCGCTGCTTGCTTTGCTGTGCGCTTCAGTGTCGCGCACTCAGACGCAGTACGCAAGCTTGTGGCACTGCTGGCGCTTACGTTATTGCTGCCGGCGCTGTTGGACGCCGCTGTTATTGGCGGCGTTTTGACTATTTTGTAACGCGACAGCACTTCGGCCGATGTTTGCTTCAGTGTCAGCGCCATTTGTCGGTGTACGCGCTCCATCAGTTCGGGTAGATCGTCTTTGGTCAGATTTGCTGTGCTAATTGGCGGCAAAGCGGTGATGATTATGTTGCCTGCATTCAAGATTTTCATCTTGTCATTCAGAAAACTGCAATACGAGCTAAATACTACCGGCAGTATGGGTATTTGTTCGTCGATGGCCATGTGAAAAGCGCCTTTTTTGAAGGGGTGTAGTTCGCCGGTGTTGCGACGTGTACCCTCGGGAAATACCCACAATTTGATATTATCCAATTTGACGCGGCTATTGACAGCGTTCAGTGTGTTGCGCGCCTTCTCGCCACGCACGCGATCAATGAATGTGAGGCCAGCCAGCCAGGCGGCTAAGCCGAAGGGCCAGGCATAGAAGAGCTCACGTTTCGCCACCACTGTACACTTGTTCATTACGTGCCAGATTGCGAACATGCCTTGAGAAAGCGGTACAAAATTAACAGGCAATAATTGAGAAATTCTATTCAAGCTATTTACCAAGCACATCCAATGAGCTCTGATGATTCGCCACAATTATGCATGCCTGATCCTTTTCGAGATGTTCACGACCGCGTAGCTCCCAGCGTAGGCCGATTAAAGTCGAGACGCGATGACAAAATGTGCTTGCCCAACTGTAGAGAGGGAGAGAGGGTGTATAATTAATAAGTATTTTCAAATTTTTTAAAAGAAATATAATTTTTATTTTGTTTGGATCTATCAGTCAAGAGCCAAAAGCTGTTAGAAAAAGCCGATGGTTGCCTCACATAAGCTTAGTATTTACAAAAGGCGTCCATTAAATATACTTAACCTAACAAAACCGTCTCCTAACCTAACATAACCAAAGTTTATTTCGAATATTTGAATATTATTAAGCGGCCTCACAGAGGGAATCGCGAAGAAAGTGTATTTGGCACTATACACTGTTTTTGTTAATATTCAATTTGATTTAGAAAGGATTATGCTCTGAATTGACGACAAATTTAGACTTTATAAATATTGTTGTTATGTATAATGCCTATACCTATTAAATACAATTCAATCTTGCCAAATTAAATTGCTTTTTTAATTTCAATAGTGGACAACTTTCAGTTCAATTATCGTTAATTAATGTTTAGTAAGCAATGTAGCATAGCTACACATATATTTGTATAAATTTGTAGAGGCACTGTAGGAAATTAAACTAAGCAAATGCTATTTTATTGATAGAAGAGAGATTTTATTTTTTTCTGCGCTATGTTAAAGATTAATGAAAAGATCATAAATGATTTGATATTTGCTTTCATGTTTTTAAGTCGCGTATTTGAAATATTAATCTCATAATTTTGCTGCCAATTTTAAAAGTTATTGATTTATTAGCTATCGATAACTTTTTACTACCGGTATGCACTAACGCATTCGTGATTACGGTTGGCCTCCACTTCTAAATGAAATTTGTACACATTTGGGGAGCGTTACGATTTTAATTGTTTTAAAGCAATTGAATTTGAAATTTGAATAATTTATTCGATGTAAATATTAAAAATAAATACTAATAGAAGACCATTTGATTAAAGCATCTAGCTTATGAATTTAAGTGCGCTAAACAAACATAAAACTAACACACACCATTTCCCAGCACTCAAATTAATTTATTGACATTCTGATAACTATAATTGATATTTGTGCCCCTAATTGGAAGTGAACTGACAAAAAATAAATAAATTAGACTTTCCCGAACGGAACAAGGTTGAGCTGAGAAAACCAGAAAGCAATGGATATATATTTAGATTAAAAACAAAACATGAGTTATAACGAAAAATCCGTCGTATTCAATTAAACCTAGAAATATGTAAGTCTGAAATCTGCCGTTTGTAATTTTTTTTTTTTCAAAAAAGTGGTTTTAAGCACTGCTCGGGTGTCTTTGCTTACAAAATTGAAAAATAAAGTTCTCTGCCTCATCCATCGGTCATGAAAGTAAATACATTACTTATATTTTGCGTGAGCTCAAGAGATTTTTTATATACAAAACTAACACCAGCGCGTGCTGTGCCTGAAGCGCTGTATACGAAGCATTTCCTTATAATAAACTGCTTGCAATTGGATTAGAACTTTATTATACACATACTATATAAAATATAGAAAAAATTTACACAGCTTAATAAATAATAAATCTTATCATTGACTAAGATTAGCTACGATTGTTATAAGCATTTCAATAAATAATGAAGCATGTAGCCAAGTACGAGTTTAGTACAAGTAAATCGATAAGTTTTCATCAGCGTGTGATAAGCAATGGCTAAGTAAGGAAAAAATAAATGCTTAAGCGCTCAAGTGTAACCTTGGCGGTTGAATTACAGCCAATAATAACAAATGCAACAAAACATAACAACAACTATGCACCCACGCGTATAACAACAGCTGACGGGTCAACAATATAACGGCTGTGACATTTGGTTTGGTCATAAGCGTAGCATATAATGCCTTGAGCAATAAGAACTACGATTACAGAGCTTTTTTCTTCTTTAATGTCGGAAACATCGCTTGCGCGGTTATAGCCGGGTTAACAAGAGCAGAGGATGGAGTCATGTGTAAAAGTTTACGCAAGTGGGGAAAGTTCTCTGACTGCTATTCACTTGGGAGTGGCCAGAAACAATTCTTTTACATATGGCTCAAACAGCTCATGACTTCCGGTCTTAGACCAAGTAGACACTGGGTAGTTAAAGAACATCCGTTTGAAGGCGAGCCAAAGCGATTTCCCAGGGTTGTGTGCTAGGTTTGGGACCCGCCACGTAAAAATCTCCCCAAATGAAAAGGAAACAACAGCGTCGGACATTAAAAATGTGAACATATATTAATATCATTATTCAGTACACAGATTTCTACATATTTAACGTTTTCGCGCTTTAAATAAATATTGCGGCTGTTATATGTATGTATGAAATTCCTTACTGTATAGAATTTCATAGCATAACGGTCAAACGTGTCGCAACACTCAGCAAATGTCAGTCAACCGTTTCATTATAATTATCGATTCACTTTTACGACATGCTTATATTATTGTAGTGTTAAACGACAAATGAAAAAAAAAACACAAAAAAGCGAAAAATAAAAATATAAAACAAAAACAGCGAAAATTATCAAAACATAGTAAAAAGACAAAATAAAAAA